GTGTGGGTGTGGGTGTGGGTGTGGGTGTGGGTGTGGGTGTGGGTTCAGATGTCGATCTCTTCTTTACCCACACCCACACCCTTTTCAGTTTCTTCCTAAATTTGTTAGACTTACCTAATGTAAAAAAAATCAGCTAAATCGGTGGTATTCAGGAAGTACCAACATCCACCCACACTTACACCCTTAGCAATTAAAAATTTGATCTAATGTGCGAAATCAGGTTCAAAATCTTTTCTGACGAGAAAGCGATTCAAAGTAAATCTGCCACCATTAGTGAAAAATGCGTCAAAAACAGAGCCATAAACTTCGGTTACGGTTGATTTCAGGAATACTTTCACTATTTTATTTTTCTTCAAAAAGGTCCATCAATCCACATCTCTCCTTGTCGGGCATATAATTGTCAACAAGGATGAATTCGATGGATATCTTCAGAAATTCTGTAGATAGTCAAAACAGAGGTTAAAAGAAAATGATGCTCACCATATTGTGTTAGAGAGCTTCAATGAGATATCATACTCCTTTGGCTTTGATGTTACAGAAGTGTATTCATCCGACCAACTCATCATGTAAGACAGGTCATCAATGGAAATATTTGCAATCGACGAACTGTGTTCTCAATTAAACTAAATTTTCGATTTCTCCATCGATAATGAATTTCACAAATCTTATTTAGAAGAAAATTTTAAAAGATTGATAAAGATATTGCAATAATTCGTGGGCCGTGGAAGCCCACAAATCTACCGTTTCGTATTTCAATTTTTCACTGTGTCAGTTGTGAATTTCAATCTTTTTTTGTGAAAATTTTTTCTGTCTTTGTGTTCATCAAAAAGTTTTTAACATAGACAAGTCATGAAGGCAACAAACTGGAGAGAGAATGTGTCATCAAAATTCAGCCTTATTGTGGGCTCTATCATTGTTTTCATCCTTCATGCTTCTATATCTTCCTTTTAAATTCTATAGCACGCGTTGGTGTTTGATCTTGTATAGCCAAACAGAAACTTGTTTCAATATTGATAATTTCCATGTTCCTCATGAACAAAAGCATGTTCGATATATTTGCTCGAGAAAAAGTTTAAATGTGATTATTCATCGGTATTACTTTTACTAGTTGATGACAGAAAAGAAGCAGTTATACTAAATGCGAGAGTCTTCAACCAGAAAAACAGTAAGTACGACAGAAGAATAATCGAAAACTATCAGACAACTGAATAGACAATGTCACATAGAGAAACAGTCGAATAAAGTTCTCTTATATAT